CCATTCATACATCCCTTCATTCATCAACAGATCGTAATTTTGACCTGAATCAGAGAACGATCGATCTCCAATACAGTACCCCCAGAGGTATGGATTTGTTATGGGAACATGGAGGACTTTGCGGCTCGACAGATTTAATGTGCATCAGTCACCATTTACAACACGGGGAGTCTTCGGGTGGCGGGGTTCGAACCCACGAACTTTCGGGCAAGGACCCAGCGCCATACCGACCAGGATATCCCGACACCTATAATTAATAACACGTATATTTGTTATTTTTAAAAGTATCTCGCAGAAAGATATTAGTTCTAGAAAGGTATGTCCAGGCCCGGACTGGCCAGTAGGCAGACCGGGCAAATGCCCGGTGGGCCGGTCTGGCCTGAGGGCCGGTAGGACCGAGCTAGCAGCGAATTTTTTTTATACATTGCATGAATTTCAAATAATATTGCTCAAATAATAATATTAAATAACATATATGATATATGTAGTAATAATATTGTTTTAATATACAGGGTAATTCAGATCATGCGTGCCACCCATTTTTTTGAGAATGGAGCAAATAATTTATTTGAAATAAAAGATCCAATAACTAAATCGATCCCAAGGAATTCAATAGTGATATTGTTAATTCCCGGAAGTACCGGAATTTGTACACAGTTTTGATTTTTTAAATGGAAACCTATATCTTATTTTGCATCATTGGAGAGGGTTTTCGAAAAAAAGAAACTTTTACTTGAATTTTTTTTATATCTCTTACTTATTTTTTATATCTTATTTTCTATATCTCAAGATAATAGATGCGAAAAAATTCTGATTATTTACTTCAATTTATCATTTTTATCAAAAATAATTCACTTAAATTATCAAAATCGCTTCAATTTTTATAAAACATGCGAAGAAAAGCACAAATGTGTTTTAATGAAGGTAAAAGACATTATGACGAAAAAAATTTTTTTTAGTGAATATGTCAAAATCTATTTAATATGTATTTTTCCTTATCTATTATCTTG